AGAAATGTTATATCAAAAGAGTAAGACGACATTGTTTTTTTTAATTTTTTTTGCGACAGAAAAATACCGTTGAATTTATTCAAACCATTTTGTGACTGTATATATATGAAGCTATCTCAAAACCACAATCACCAAAATCTTTTAAAAATTCACTAAATACCAAAAATACAAAAAAAAAAATACCATAATTCAATACATTTTTTTTTTGTATTTTTATGTATTTATTAATTTTTAAAAATATTTTTTCATAAATTTTTTATTTTTTAGATACATCTAAGTAAGGTACATTTAAAAAAAATATTTAAAATTTTAAAAATATTCACTAAAAAAAAAACACGAAAGCCACTTTTTGTGACGGCAGAAAATGCCGTCTCAAAAAAGCAGAGTATTTGCGACGGCACCATTTGCTGTCTCAAAAAAGCAGAGCATTTGCGACGACACTATTTGCCGTCTCAAAAAATGAGAGTATTTGCGACGGCAAAAAATACCATCGCAAATACTCCCATTTTTTGAGACGGCAAATAGTGCCGTCGCAAATGCTCTGCTTTTTTGAGACGGCAAATGGTGCCGTCGCAAATACTCTGCTTTTTTGAGATGGCATTTTCTGCCGTCACAAAAAGTGACTTTTTGAGATTGCAAGTATGCCGTCGCAAATAGTTCCATCTCATATACCCAGTTTTCTTGTAGTGATATAAGCTTGGTTAGAGTTTTTCAAAAACTCTTTTCAAAAAATTCTACTTTCTTGTATTCCGTGTTTTTTTATTTTTGTTTTTACTGAATTTTTTTAATATTTTAAGCAATTTTTTTACTTTTTAGACATACCTAACATAATTATACCTAAAAAGTAAAAAAATTGTAAAAGAAACCTTTTAAAAATTCACTAAATACCAAAAATATAAAAAAAATACAAGAATTCCGTACATATTTTGTATTTTTATGTATTTATTAATTTTTTAAAATATTTTTTCACAATTTTTTTATTTTTTACATACATCTAAGTAAGGTGCATCTAAAAAAGTAAAAAAAAATGTTTAAAATTTTAAAAATATTCACCAAAAACGAAAAAACACGAAAACCAAAAAATTCAGTTTTCAAAAAACTTAATTCAAAAAACTCAAACCATACACACTGATTATTGTTTGGAATGTAGGTTGGCTTTTTGGTTATATTAGCCCGGAGCTAAAAAGTCTTGTTTATGATAGGCTTTTTGATTTTTTGGACTTTTGTGAAAGAAAAAATGAAATTATTATAATTTGGATGTAGCATTTTGTTTTACTGAGTTAAAAAAACTTATTTTATCTTTTTGTGACTATTTTAACTAAAAAAATCGGTTTTAACTTATGTCAAATGAAGGCTACATATATATATATATATCTTGGGGAAAATAATTTTTAAAATATAACACTTTTTGTGTCAAACTAATTTCTAACTACTGTAAAAAGTTCCCAAAATAGAGCAGGAGAAAGAAGAGACATAGGAGAAGAAAGAGGGCTGAATAAATGACTAATAGAGAGATTTATGAATAAATGACCTAAGAAAAAAAATAACAAAACTTTTACGGAAATTCTATAACATATACTTCATAAAATGCCCAGTTACGATTTTTGTAATCTTGACACTTTAAGTGCCCTATCTATAACTGCTTACAATTGTTCGGAGTCTTATGATGGATGATAATTTACAAATAGCTTTCTAAATGGTTCAAATCCAAATAATTATTAGAAAGAGAAATTTTTTTAAGGTTTTTGATATTAAGATTTTATAAGATAAAAGACATACAATATTTTCATAGTAGTTAGAGTTTCTCAACATTTTTACAGAGAAAATTCGATAGAGAGAAATTTCGTCCCGACACAGAGAAATTTAGAAATTTCTTTGGTATGATCATAGTAAAATTTCTAAATTAGAGAGGGATGTTTCACAAATTTTTCCTTACTAGAATGGTTATTTAGAAATTTCTTTAATATGATCGCAAAGAAATTTTATCGAGGGACTTAGCTAATAAAAAAAAACTATATTGGACCTCCTCTACTACCCAAAGTTAGAGAAGGTTGTTTCACAAATTTTCCCTTATTGGAATGGTTATTTATCACTCTTTTCAAGTTTTAATAATTATTTTTAAATTTAACGGTTCATATATAGTGGATTAATTGAGCAAACTTGGGGTTCAAAAGTTATTTTATGATTGGGTTTGTGATAACAAAATTAGGCCCGATGTTTTAATAGGTCAAACTTGGAATAACACATATATCCTTATTATATAGTGCAAGCTTGGCTTGAACCGGCTAGGTCAATAGTTATGGTTTTAAACTTAACCAAACCAAATCAAACCGAATCCTAATATATATTTTTAAAATTTCTAAGTAATGAAAACAAGAATACAATAATTAGTAATAAGATTTGAACATTATTCTTAACTGTGAATTTAACAAGTTTTAACCAATTGTCAATTTGTCTACTATCATAAGTATATGAAAAATGTTATAAGTCCCAAATTTTCTATCAAATAAATTAGCAAATGTGTCACATGGGCGTGGGGTTCGCAAACGTTGCACTAAATCCATCACCAAATTCAAATTTGGTGAAAAAGTTTCTTTTTTGCTGCTACAATGGTTTCATCAAACCTATGTCTTTCATCAAATCATTGTTCATTATCGTTGTATTTTCAGCACCGGATGTCCCTCCGAATGTCCTCTCGAAGACCACCCCATGGCAAAAATTTGTGAAAATTTTACATTGGAAGGTCGACCTCCCAGTTGACTTCTCGGATGACCCCCTATCATTTTGGTCACTGATGTTGTTCCTTGTCCTAATGTGAAAATTTTACATTCGCTGGTCGATCTGATGGTTGTCCGCCTGGTCGATCGGTGGTTTGATGAAAAGTCAAATCCTTCCGTTGGAGTAGGTAATATCAAATAGAGTTTTTACTTAAAATTTTACTTAAATTTGGTGAAAAAAATAATATACCGTTGGAGATGCCCTAAAGCTATGTTTGACAATGGATTGTAGGCTAAAAAAGCACAAAAGAAAAAATTGGCTACATAAGTTAATAAGACAAAGTGTCACATTCAAATCATAATCATTACATTTTTTCTCTCATAACAGTTAAAAAAAAATCAAAAAAAAAAATCAAACGAGGCTAAAAAATATGCTAAAATAGTCAAAAAAATTAAAAAGTCAAGCTATTTTAACTCTTCCTAAACAAAGATTAAGTATAACAATTTAGGTGCGATTTTAATTCTTCCGAAATGATAAAGATTGGTTCTTAGTTTATTCTAGAATTGGACAAATCTAATCCATTAACACCCGTCAATATTAAAAACGTGTTTTTGAAAAAAAAATTAAAAATAATTTGGTGAAAAAATAAAAATCTAATTATTTATACATTTTTGGGGGAAAATAATTTTAAAAAAAATTAAAAACAACACTTTTTTGTGTTTTATTTTACTAAACTACTAATGTCTAACTTAAAAAAAAGGGGGAAATTTTTATGGAGGAATTTCATTTCAGTGCAACTTAATTTTTTTTTTTTTCTTCTTCTTCTTCTTCTTCTTCTTCTTCTTCTTCTTCTTCTTCTTCTTCTTCTTCTTCTTCTTCTTCTTCTTCTTCTTCTTCTTCTTCTTCTTCTTCTTCTTCTTCTTCTTCTTCTTCTTCTTCTTCTTCTTCTTCTTCTTCTTCTTCTTCTTCTTCTTCTTCTTCTTCTTCTTCTTCTTCTTCTTCTTCTTCTTCTTCTTCTTCTTCTTCTTCTTCTTCTTCTTCTTCTTCTTCTTCTTCTTCTTCTTCTTCTTCTTCTTCTTCTTCTTCTTCTTCTTCTTCTTCTTCTTCTTCTTCTTCTTCTTCTTCTTCTTCTTCTTCTTCTTCTTCTTCTTCTTCTTCTTCTTCTTCTTCTTCTTCTTCTTCTTCTTCTTCTTCTTCTTCTTCTTCTTCTTCTTCTTCTTCTTCTTCTTCTTCTTCTTCTTCTTCTTCTTCTTCTTCTTCTTCTTCTTCTTCTTCTTCTTCTTCTTCTTCTTCTTCTTCTTCTTCTTCTTCTTCTTCTTCTTCTTCTTCTTCTTCTTCTTCTTCTTCTTCTTCTTCTTCTTCTTCTTCTTCTTCTTCTTCTTCTTCTTCTTCTTCTTCTTCTTCTTCTTCTTCTTCTTCTTCTTCTTCTTCTTCTTCTTCTTCTTCTTCTTCTTCTTCTTCTTCTTCTTCTTCTTCTTCTTCTTCTTCTTCTTCTTCTTCTTCTTCTTCTTCTTCTTCTTCTTCTTCTTCTTCTTCTTCTTCTTCTTCTTCTTCTTCTTCTTCTTCTTCTTCTTCTTCTTCTTCTTCTTCTTCTTCTTCTTCTTCTTCTTCTTCTTCTTCTTCGTCTTCTTTTTTGTTTTGTTTCTTTAAGTCTTTAATCTTTGTTGAGGCTATTGAACAATTGGGGCTTTTGGTCGAGAGGAACCTGTAGCTAGTATGGACAATAGTGGAAAAATCATATGGGCTAAGCACAATGAAATTCAGACTGTTAATATTAGGAGTGTTGGTGCAGATTATGAGGTTTGATTCAATTTTGTTCTCATCTTTTTTTGAATAAAACTACAACGATTTCTGCTCAAGGTGACATTGAAATTCACTGTGCTTTTTTCTTCTCAGGTTACTGGTGGAGAAAGATTACCTTTGGTAGTGAAAGAGTTGGGGACCTGTGATCTTTACCCACAAGTGAGTTGGCCTTCTTTGGATGTAGTAGATATTATTTGATATGCTGTGTGATGATTTGAATTTTCACACTAGTGAGCTGGCCTTCTTTTTGAAGAAGCACTTCTGCTATAATTTTCTGATTGAAATACTAAAGCATGCAAAGATATCTGGTAGAATAACTTCAACAAAGTTCATTAGTGATTCAATAAAGTTCATTAATTTTATATCAACATTTTTTTGTTTTTATCGATAATGGTTATGGGTTGGGAGATGGATAATTGAATGTAAAAATTATGATGGGAAATTTGATTTGTTAAATTAATTATATATTATGGGTGCAGTGAAAAGTGCAGCAGGCAGGTGCCTGTTGTTCTGATTGGCTGGCACGATTGCCACATTGAAGCTCAAATTGAGAGGTCTCTTGGTATGTATTTCTTTCCCCTTCCAATTTTTGTCCATCACTTTGTTATGTTTCTATCTTCTTGTCTGCATATTCGTAGTAGATATACATACCCACATAATAGAAATACATAAAACCATAACCCTGTTTATGATGCTTATGGTTCAGTTATTGATTTTTCTTTTTCTTTTTCTTTTTTTCCCTCTCTTTTATAATGGTTTATTTTTTTTCTTGGGTTTTTTGTTACAGATGCACAAATGTTGGAAAATGAAAAGCAATGTGATGCAATACCAGCAGAAAAGTAAATTCACTTCCACTTTATGTTTGTTTCATGCTACATATTGATGTTTAGATCATTTTGCATTTTTGGGGGTTTCTTAATTTGATTTCTGAACACTTTTTTTTTTTCTTCTTGCAGAAATAAAGTAAAATCTACTGAACCAAATCCAAAGAAAGTGAAGAAGGAAAAGAAAGCTAAAGATCCAAACCAGCCCAAACGTCCCCAAACTGCTTTTTTCCTCTTCATGTAATGCCTCCCTCCCTCTCTCTCTCTCTCTCTCTATATATATATATATATATAGACACATTTGATAACATTCATTATGCTTCAGGAGTGAATTCAGGAAAACTTACAAGGAAGCCAATCCAGACTGTAAAAGTGTTGCTACGGTAGAAATCGAGCTCTTGACTTTTTACTGCAGATCATTTTTGTATTTCTGGGATTTATTGAATGTGATGTATTTGCCCTTTTGGATGAAACTTAGGTTGCAAAGGAAGGTGGTGAGAAATGGAAATCTATGACAGATGAAGTGAGTGACAATCTGATTTTATTTTTTTAAAGCAAAAATGTTTTGTCAAAATGTTCTGACCCTTTTAATCTTAATAATCACTTTACTAGGAGAAAAAGATTTATCTGGATAGAGCTGCAGAGCTTAAAGCAGAGTATGGCAAGGCTTTGAATTCAGATAAGGATGTTCAAAATGCAGATGTAAGTTTCTTCTTGATGCCCAAGTTTTTTCTAATTAATATCTTCTATTTGATTTGTTTTATTTTTCTCAATTAATGCATATTTTAATTGATCTAAGGATGAATTCATATTTGTTGTTTGGGCAGGACAAAGAAGATGGTTCATTGGATAAGGAAGCACAAGTGGAGATAGTGTCTGATGATGAATAGGAATATCTTCTCCTGTTTAGGTTTCTTTCATTTTATTTTTTTTTCTTTATATGTTTTGTGGAGAATGATTGTCCCTGGTCCTTTGCCCTTGTTGATGTTGAATATAGTTTAGCCTTCCAAGTCTCTTATGAATGCTATAATGCTCTTCAAACCAAATTGTCCATTCAATTTTCCATTTTTTGTGCTCTGGATTCTTAATATTGGTAGGCTATGTTTGTTTGGGCGGACTGGATTAGTATTTTCATAACTAATAGTCTTAAGATTACGAATCCATTTGATTATGTATCCTGTCTTAACTAATAGTTAAGTTTAAAATAATTAGTCCGTATTTTAATTGTTTAATCAAATATCGGATTATTAATTTTATTAAACTATTAGTTCAATTTCAAGCTCATGTCCACCCAAATAAACATGACCGTAGGTTATTAAGGTTAGTTTGGAAGTATACTTGGAATTTTTGCTTTGTGATCTATAGCATTTGAAAGCATATTTAAGATTGAATTTATTGGACTAGAAAAGTTCTCAAGTGTGATCATGCCATTAAGTCAAGGTTCTTAACTTTCAATTATTAAAGGTAACAAAAATGTGCAAATAGGTTGGTAGTGGAAAAACTAAACGGAAAGACATGCAAATGTAGTTGTAGGAAGACCATAATTTATCTCCTCTCCTCTTCCATTTGAAATTGCTCAAATGGTACGTGTATAACCATTTTGGCAATTGAATTGGCATTTTTTTTCTTGGTTTCTTGTCCTTACATGGTGGCAGTTACTTGCCACAATCATAGATTGTGGCCATATGCAGTAGTAGGGAAAATATATTATGATCTCTCTTGTGGGATTTCTCTATATAATGTGTACCCTCCTGAAGTTTGCATGTACAAGTCTAGTCATTGCATCTTCAACAATACTCCAAAGCTTGCAGGAGTTGTGCCTTTATTTTGTTCCTTGAGACATCTAACCTTTGTAGTTTAATCAAGTTTGAGATACAACTATAGATTTGCACTGTGACCTAATTTTTTAAAGATTTAGAAGTTTTCCAATTTGGTCAGTGATTCTTTGTTTGTGAGCTGGTTTGGATATATGGATGAAAGATTGATGATTGTTCAAGTTGCACTAAAAATGATGGAATAGGGACCCCTCCCCAAGTCAATCTCTAACACTCTTTAACAAATTGAATAGGGACTTTCTTTGGGGATCAACCATTGAGACCAAAAAAATTCATGCTATTAGGTGGGAGACTATTATCAAATCTAAATCTTTTGGTGGGCTAGGGATTAGACACTTTGACTTCAACAAAGTAGCTATGGCTAAACTCAATTGGAGGCTGAGAAATGAGAAAAATGCTATTTGGGCCAAGGACCTAAATGTTAAATACCCCAACAAAGAAAAAAAGCCAGCAAGGCATCTCACACTTGGAGGGTCATTCTGGAAAGCTCTCATCTATTCAAAATAGGTACCAAAATCCTACTCAAGAGTGGGCTCAATACCTCTTTTTGGTACCATGATTGGATTGGTTTTGGTTTAATTAGACATTTGGTAAAAGGAGCACTTGATAGAGAAGAACTTATTGTTAGGGACTGTTGGGTCAACAACAGTTGGAATTTCTCTAACATCTCACTCACTTTACCCTTTAGCCTTCTCAACTCAATCCATTGCATTTTTCTCCCTTGGTTCTCTAATGAACCAAATCAAATTTGGTGGAAATACTTGCCTAATTGTGTCTTCAGTAGCAGCTCAGCCTATCTTCTTGTCAAGGATTTTCACAAATCCCCTCCTTTGGACAATTGGTCTTGGGTATGGAAGATTAATGCCAACCCTTGCATCCGTCACTTTTTCTGGTTAGCCTCGCCCCAACGGATCACTACAAAATCTTTTCTCCATCATAGAAATATCTCCCCGGATGACTTGTGCCCCCTCTGCAATTCCTATCCTGAAACAACCCATCCATGTCTTCTGATATTGCACTGTGACCAATAATTACATAATATTTTATATTTGGTTAATTATGTAGATTTGAGATTTTAATTAATTGTTTTCCTAATTTAATTTGAGATTTATGAGAATTGTAGAATCTGATTCGTATATGATTCTATTAAAGATTTATTTTGAAAATTAGAAATTAACTGTCCAAATCGTTTAAGTAAAATTAAGAAGTTGAATCAATTTAATTTTAATTACTGATTCATTTGGGAGTTTAATTAAATATTTGATTTAGCTTAATAAAATTGAGATTTGATTAATTAGATTCGAATTGGAGTTAATTAAGTTAGTTAAATTATGAGAATTGACAATTGTAATTACTACGAATTAAATTTATTTATGGGGTATCTAATTTGAATATATAATTTATTGACAGAAATTTGAAGTTTGATTAGGAATCAAAGGCCTAAACAATTTGGGAAATCAAAATTTATGATGACAATAAGTTTAATTTAATATTTGGAGTTTTTTGGAAGTTTGATTAAAAATTTGATTCAAATTGATAAATTTAAATATAATTAATTGGGTTTTAAAGGATGTCAAATTAGACTAATTAAATTATGTGGGATTTGTAATTAGTTATGATTAATTTAATTATGTACCAATTAAGATTTATTAAGACTGTGTTAATTAAGTAAATTTTAATCATAAATTAGATTATCTAAAGTAATTTGAGGATGTATATGGGTGTGTGCAAAGAAATTTTAGGTGTGCAAAGAAAATTTGTGTATGTGTGTGCATGTGAGTGTTGTGTTGGAGGCTTGATTAAGTGTGCACGTGTGCAATGTGGTGGCAACAAGAGAGGCATGTGTGTGTATATGTTGGTGAGCTCAAGAGGCAAGACATGAAATTGGTATGGGTTGTCAAGAAAAATGTGAAATAATTTGGGAATTAAATTGTGATTTTGGACAAATTAGACTCAATTTTCTTATGTCCTCACATTGTATAAAGATTTCCATGATTTTGTATCAAGAACATGAGCTTTAGACCCTTTGAATGCTAAGTTCGAGCTTCAAATGCAATTCTGAAAATTTCAGAATTCGGCATGTCCGCTCGAGCAGGGAAAGCGCTGCTTAAGCGTGAAATATTAGCTTTCAGAACTTTTGCAGACATTAATGTCCGCTCGAATGGAAAGAGTCACGCTTGAGCATAGAAATGTAGTAATCAGTACTTTTGCAGACTAAAGGGGTTCGCTCGAGTGGAGAGCCCTGTTCTTGAAATTGTGAAAAATGGTTGTGTTTTATTTTTCATTCTCTTTCATTTCTAAGCACTCTTAGGCATATCTTGAGCTTTGTAAATGACCTAAAGGGTAAAGAAAGAAGCCTAAGGGAAATAAATAGATTAAAAAACGGATTGAATTGTTTGTGATCCAATATGTGTTATGAATTGTGTAGAGTCGAGCACAAGGACGAATCCACCGGTAGGACACTGTGTAATATCATAGTAAAGATATTTTCAAGTATGTTATTTTCAAATGCTAATTATGTATAAGCTCCATGGATTTGTTGATTTGAATTATGAATGAGTATGCTATATGCCTAATATTTGTATAAGACTATCAAGAATATGATTGGGCCAAAGGCCGTCTGACATGAATGATTGGGGCCAAAGGCCGTCTGACATGAATGATTGAATCAAAAGCCGTTTGACACAAACAAATTGGGCCTGAGGCCATTTGATAAGAGTGAATTGGGCCTGAGGTCGTTTGATATATTTGGGCCTAAGGCCGTTTGATGTATTAGATAAAAATGTGAATGGGCCTAAGGTCGTTAGAAATGTCTGTTATGAATTTCATTCATGTAACTTCTTTATTTTGATATTATTCACTGGGCTATCGCTCACTCTCATTTATATCTGTGTAGGTAAGCAAAGAGATGTCCAAACCCAACCTCAGTGAAAGATATAAGAGGAAGTGAAGTTTTGTGGAGTCAGCCCGCACGTCTCACGCACGAGACTTTATTTCTGTTCTTGTGTTTACACTTTTGCTTTATCGGTGAATACGTTGGATCATCCATGCATATAAGTTTGCTTTGTTTGGCTGACTGCATGTCTTGAAGTTCCTGGATGTATAAGATATTAACTCTGTTTTTTATGTGTGAGTTATTATGGACTGTTTATGAAATGTTTCGTTTTATCATGTAAGCACAACTCATTGGACAATTTTTAAGTCTGTTTTCGCTTTTGGCCCCATATGATTATTTAAAAATCTATTTTCTGTCTGAGGCTATAGGTAATCTAATAATTACCGGGCAATTATGATCTTAACCTATAGGGACAGGTTCGGGTCATGACACATGCCTCCTCCTTCAACCTTAATTTAGTTGATTGGATCAAAGTCAACTGCCTTTCAGTTGAAACCTATGACAATAATTACTAGTCCATTGTCTTTCCCCTAGTCTGCTAGGAAATCTAGAAAGTTTGAAATTCTCAGTGTTTCTTACCCTCAAACCCTAACCCTTTTGAGAGGGTAATTTATACCTAAATTGGGCCGAGATGGGTAAATGGGCCGTTCTTTGGGCCACAGTAAGAAGGGCTGGATGAAAGGGGGCTTGTAGTTAGCCCGGTCTTGGTAAGCCTTATTGTTATCCCGGTCCGAAAGAACCGTGAAGTTAGTCCGGTCTAGAGAAGCTTTGTATATAGCCCGGTCACCGTACTCAAAGTTAGCCCGGTCACCGTACTCAAAGTTAGCCTGGTCATGGCTTATCGTGGTTATCTCGGTCAGAACCTTACTGTTTGTTAGCTCGGTCTGATCACATCATGGTTTGTACATAAGAAACCGAGATAAGAGCAGTGAAAGGAAGAACCAAACTAGCTATAGTTCGGTCTAATTTGCGGCTTAGCATAGCCATGCTTACCTCGGTCATATTGGAATCCAACCATGGTAAAACCATCTCACTTGGTTTAAGTAGTGAGGGGGGTGTTGAAGGATAAGCATTGTCTTTCTAGAGTATGACTCCTAGGAGGACTCTATATGGATGAGTAAAAGTCCTATTAGGATTGTGCCACGTAAAACCTATAAAAGCTCATAACATCACTTATGGAGAGGTAACACAACTTTGATTCTCGAATACACAGAGCTTTTGTCTATTTGTCTATTTTGCTGACTTAGGCATCGGAGAGGTATCCGGCACACACCCGCCGACTAGCTCACGTTTGTGTTTTCAGGAAGTAAAACAACGACATACGGAG